CTGTTTTCAGGTTTCACTCATTTCTACAAAAATAACCGCTTTTTTTTGTTTTTGTTTTTTTTTTTACATAAAACATTTTTGTCTTTTTCAAAACATAGTTTGACAAACTTTTGTGCTTACAGGTAATTCTACACACTCCCTGGCCTATTTATTAGGTACACCTTGCCAGGACCAAGTTGGACTCCCTTTTGAAAACTGAAAGTAAGATTCAGTGGCCCAGCCCACACTTTTCCAATCGGTCGTATCCAATTACAATAAGCCTGTGTGAATTTTAGCCTCCGCTTTCTTGTTCTTAGCTGGCCCATCTGCATCAAAGCACAATGTGTTGTGCTTTCAAAGATTGTAGTTTTCATCCATTAGTAGCTACAGGGGGTTATCAGAGCTACTTTTACCTTTCTGTCATCGCGAACTTGTCTGAACTGGGTTCCTGAGTTTCTCATGTTCATCTACTACATTAATGGCGCCTACTTGATATTTTCTCTTTCTTTGTAAACTTGAGAGATAGTTGCTAATGTCCTATCACCCTCAAAGTGGTTAAAATCCCCTTTAATCGCCATTCGGATGCTGACCTTTTAGCAAGACAACTTCACCACATCTAGAACCCCAAACACATTGAGTCTCTGTGACTGACTGATGCTTTATTTGTGCTAATTCTAGTAAGCAAATGGAAAGGTGGACCTACTAAAATGGCCTGTGACCTGATTGTATAGCCTTTTTAATTTCTCTTTGGGTGCTTTTTGCAGAGTTAACTGGAAGCACACATCCTGTTGTACAAATCCAAACATATTCACACATAGAGAAAATCCTGGGTTATTATTAGTTACAGTAATCATTAACTCACTGTATCACCCAGCTCTTGGGTGAAAGCATTCGTAATTTTTCTCATGCATGCATCTTATACACTTTTGAGTTCAGTAACAAGACTAATCCTGAGTGACATAAAAAAAAGGTTTAATTATTAGCCATGGAATTGGGCATTAAGAGCCCTCTGATGGAATCATAAGTGGGCTGCTATTTTAAGAGAAACTAATCAAGCATAATTTCACTGAGCATTTACAAGGCCATTCAATTAGCTTATAAAACAATAACCAGACATGGCGTCAGTAATGACATATTTTGTAATTACTATAAATAAATAGATAATTAAATAAATACATTAAATAGCCAGAAACAACAACAACAACAAAATGTCCTGCAGGTAATGCCCGAAATTTAAAAGTAGAACATAAATTATGCAAAACCACAAATAATTAGAATTGCCTTTCAGAACAGAGTTTTGAGCAGCTTGTGTTACAGTTATCCAGGTGTGTACCTCACTGGATGGTGGATGCATGGTTGACTTTGACAGGTTAGAGAGAGTTTGTGTCATGTGCTTGTTTTGAAAGTTTCCAGTTCACCGACAAATACTGGATGATGTTCAACTCCTAAGTATCACTGAATGCGCTGCTGATTTCAACCCAAACCGGAATAATCATCTAGCAAAATCATCCATTTTTGTTTAAAGGTATCTCATTTAAAATACAAGATAAATCCCTGATCATTGCAATTTAGCATGATTGCTGTCAGAGGCTTCCATTAAAACCCAACTTCTAAGTCGTGTTGCTGGTCCGCTAACCTGTTATTTTATGTAACCCAAAAATAGCGCTAACTGGAGAGCAACGTGGCTCTGTTTTCTTTGACCAAGTCATTAAAACATTGCAGCCTTCTTGTCTGTGTATGTGTTCTACAATGCACAAATTATTTCCCTGATTCAATGACTGTGGTTTTTCTGCAGCAGTTTTTTTTTTTTTTTTTTTTTTTTTTTTTTCTCTTTTTTCCCCAAAAACCATTTTCTTTTTTTTTCATCCAAAA